AATCTGGAATCCAAGTTCCACAGACAACAGTCCAGAATTGAGTACCTGGAATCCGTATCCACAGTGTGTAATCCAGAATCAAAGACTGTCTTCCATTCCCATACACAGGGCCTGGTAGTGGGGTCAGAGACATGTGTAAAAAAATTAATATATTGTATATAGGACCTGGCATCTTTTGTTATTTCATTATGGGCTTATGGTTGTGGGTGTGGCTCATTTAAGGTGAATGATACCCAAGAAATCCTGGGGCTCAAAAAATTTTGATCAGATCTAAACTCTCATAAGCATTTGCTATGAGTCTCAAGGTCTCATTTTGTTTTCGTTTTCTTATTCATATTGGAGTCTTCAACATTTTTTCTACAAAGTCTCCACCACCTTACACAAACCTAAGATCCTCTGATGCCATTGCACATACTCCAAGAAGATTGAATACTTTTAGACTTCTCTGCTAAATTGTTTGGTAGTCTTCCTGAAAACATTTGTACTTGTAACTGTTATTTGTGAACGTCTATTTTCTGTCACCAGAAGTGAAATAATTGTTAACTCTTTTTTAGTATTAGCATATGTTCACTTATAATATTGTTTATATAACTATTTTAGTGTAATATTCTTGTAGTTATCTCTATTCTTGTAGTTATCTCATGGTAATAAACTGACCAATTCAGTCTGTAATTATTATACAAGTGTTTAGCATAATATTGGACAACCACATAGTGGGAGATCCTTTATACGCTGTCATGCAATTTTTTTTGTCAATCATATGATTAAAGACTGAATTGGATGACATGAAGTTCCGTTAGCTTTTTTAGAATTAGGACAAAATATAATCCAAGAGGTTTTTGCTAGAAGTGAAAAATAACTCATTCAAGTAGTTAACTTGGTGGGTAAAGCCATTATAAATGGTTGCCCTGCATGACAAAAAAATAGCAATAATATTAAATTAAATAAGAATAATAGTAATTACCCATAAAATACTTTACAGAATGCATGGAAAAAACTTTGTACAAGGTAGCAAATAAACTCTAAGTCCAGTAATTTTCACATTTTATTGCAAGTGTAAGTTACCAATAGTTGTTTTAGTCTGTAGTTTCAACTAGCCTGTATACATTATCGGGCTGCTGCAAACTTTGTTGCGAATAGACAATCATTAAATGTTTATTGTAACAAGTATTTTCGTCTTGTAAATATTGTAACATCTTAGTAGTTTAGGTTTTATTTAAATTATTCTGGTACAAGGTTATTGAAATTACCGTATTTATTTGAATAAGCCCCCAACCTCGAATTAGCTCCCACTTCGAATAAGCACCCATCGTAAAGGCAGAAGAAGTCAATAAGCGCCCAGCCTCGAATACGCGCCCACCCCCACCACACTCCTTTTCCCCTAACACCACAAAAAATGTTGAATAAGTATTAATCAGAGACTTCCCCGAAGATGGAGTTTTCTTTGGAGTATTTTACAAACCTTGCTTTGTTAGATCTGTTTGTTTTGTTGCAAAATAAACATACTACACTACAAATGTTGAAAATTTAGTAAGCACTCAGCCTCGAATAAGCACCCACCTCGAATAAGCGCCCACTCTCAAGGTAAAAAATTTTAAAAGCGCCCAGGGTAGTTAATTGAATAAATACAGTACTCAATTTCCTGATGGATTCCATCATAATTATTTTAGCACTGTGTCTATATATTTTAATTGCGCTTTTAGCATTTTAGCAGAATAGTTTATTTATTGTCCCCTGTTAGACCTATTTGGGCTAAACTCTATGACACTTAAATATTCAGGTTCAATATGTATCTATCTATCTATCGATCAATCTATTTATCTATCTATCTATCTACAATAATCACCCCTCCCCCATTTTGTTTAAGGGGAGGAGGCAGCTTTGCATAGGCCAGTTTCAACATATGTAGCTGTTCTCTGATTTTTAGAGTGTGAGTAGTGTTTTGTATCAGAATTTATTAGGTCTACAACTTTGAATAAGGCAAGGTGGGTTGGTCTAGTGATCTGTCCTATTCTGCAGCACTTTTTCTAGATAGATTTCAGTAAATAAAGAGCAATAAGTAAATGTCTTTCATTGATACTTACCGGTATTTGTTATAATAATTTTATTCTTTGTGTTCAGTTATTTTGGTAACTTTTTTTATAATTGCTGTGCTTTGGTAGTGCATTTTCTAGAAGCATTTTATTATTAAATAAAAATGGGGATTATAACATTGTAGTGGTCTCTGGTTTGTGGCTGGGTGGGGAGGTATCTGTACCCCCACCCCAGCCCCCACATCTATGTACCACTGTTCATTTTTAGCCCTTTTATTCTAATCTTGGACATGCAGAGAGAGACAGTTCAACAAAGGCTTTGGCTAAAGAAACAATAGCATCAGCAGAACTTTAACCCAGCTTTTAGTACAGACGTTCAAGTGTAACCATTACAATTTGAAATGGGACCATTTTGACATTTTAGCAAAAGGAAAATCAGATACCCATTGGAAAATCAAGGATACTCATCTTAATAGGGAATTAAAACCAGCCCCAGGAGCGGATCTAGGGGGAGGGTGCAGGGGGTGTGCACCCCCCCCCCCAGGTGACCTGCGGTTTTCTAATCAACTGGTATTCTGCAAAAAAAAACTATGTGGTTTATTGGTGTTGAAGTAGGTTGAAGTAGAGCAAGAGACGAGTGCACCCCCTCCTAAAAAAAATCCTGGATCCGCGCCTGAACCCTAAACGAAAATATAAGCAGCAAAAAGTTTTTCTTATACCAGTTTGCATAATTTCATGCAAATTTCCTCACCTGTCACATTTATTTGCTTTTTTCTTCACGTGAAATTAGTTACTCATCTTACTTTGTTGTTGTTGTTTTTTTTAATTTAGTTACTACTCATGTTAACGGTCACTTCTGAAGATGTATGTTAACATACGAAACGTCAAGTTCGGCAATGCGTTTGTTATTTCTGATGTTTGTAACCGCAGTTTGTGTGTCATTCCTTTTAAAACTGAGATGGCCAAAAACCTACCAAGAGTAACCAGTACTATTGTTATGATTGGATCCTTTTATTCTAAAAGCAACTTTTTTGGTATGAAATTAACAGGGCGCGCGAGGAGAACACGCGTCCTCGAGATTTCACTCTCACGCCCTTTCGCACGCCCTTTACGGCACACCCGTAGAGTTCCCGGCAGCCAGTTCGCAACAGACAGTCAAAGTGCGTCCTTAATCACGGATCAGACGGATAAGGATTTTAAAACTGCCAAAAAAATAGTGCTTTAAGATTCCTCGAGGAGTAAATGGTAAATTCGTTGACTCAGGTGTTTTAAGGTTTTTGACGCTTAAAACTGAAACCAGACAACGTATACATTCAGGCTGTTCTCAAGGCTGCGTCATGAACTCGACAACTGCTCCGACAAATACTTCATCTGAAGATAACGGTTCAGGCTATCATTTCTCGATAATATCACTGTTGATCGTCTTAATTTTTATTACCCTCTCTATTGCCACTGTTGCGGGCAATGGAATATTTCTTTTGACCTTTTACAAAGATCCACTGAAATGTCTCCGAACACCGTCTGCGATTTTGATCGCTGGTTTGACAAGCGCTAACTTCCTCATTGGCCTGATTGTGGAGCCTGCCTTTGTAATAATTTACGTCTTCGCATTTGTGTATGTTGATGGCGCAGACTTCGACAAGTTCTACCGTTTTGCTGAAGTATTCACGTTCATAACCATGAACAGCTCGTTTCTAATTATGCTAGCTCTGGGGGTCGTACAGTATTTGCTGATCCAGCACCCAAGAGTTTACCAAAAACTGGTCACGCCGAAATCATCAGTAATTGGACTTATTTTCATCTTCGTGTATTCCGTCTTCTTTTCCTTGTTGCCTGAAATGACAGGCATAAACAAAGCCTTGTTTACTTTCGTTGACCTGGTAGTCCATAACACACTGCTGACAGTTGTTATTGTCGTTCTCTATATGATGGTATACTTCGCATTTCGCACGGTGGCTCAAAAACTCAGTGACACAAACCAAGAAGAGAGCAGCAATGGTCAAAGGCCAGAATGTGAGCGAGAGCGTCAGCGGGCAGAGAAGGACTTTGTGTACGGGACCATCATTTTGACAGTTGTGCTCATAATAGCAGCCTGGCCTCTCACTATAACTGTCTTCATTGCGATATTTCATGAATTGTCTCTAGGAGTTTGGATAGCATATATGGTCACCTTGTTCTTTCTTTTGTTAAAGTTTGCAGTAGATCCATTTCTATTCACTAGACGCATAAGAAAATATCGAAAGTCAGTGGTGCTGGTTATGCGGAGAGTTTGTTCGTGTAGTGAGCCAGAAGCACCCAGGGCCATATATCGAAGAGAGTCTCCCAGAATAGGTGATACTCCATCAGATTCTGAGGATATGCAAGTGACTGTGATACATGGGGATAATCCAATGACACAGGAGCACACTGCTGTAGTATGATGAGATGAACATACAAATTCTCTTCCCTGTCCACCCCTGGCCTGGTGCTACTCAACAAAGTTTTGAACAGGGAGGCACGGCCCCAAGGTTGTTCTCCTTACCCTTTTATATACCATTTTTGACAGAAAAGGTACCCCTTTTGTATACCCTCTATTGAAAAATAGTACCCCTTTAATGACCTTGATAAGAATAGGAAGTTTTTATGTCATTTTTGTGTTTTAATGCACTGTATATTATATAGCCATAGGGTACTTCTCTTTGAAACGGTTTCATCAAAGGCCATTTAAAATACTTAATTGATAGATCTTCCTACCCATTCATATACTTCTTTTAGTAAATTCCCTACCCTTTGATATACCTGACCCCTGAAAAAGGTACTCCTTTCGCTTGAAACCTCCCCGTACGGGCTATTGTAGCAAGTATCTATCCCCCAGGTAACCACCATGGTTCCTTAGAAAGCTCTATAGAGAACATAGTGAAAAATCAAGATAGTACAGTATGACATGTATTGAGTGAACTCCTTATTTACTAATGTGTGGTTCCAAAATTATCCATACCTCCCCCACAGAAGGGATTTTCCCTTAGACCCCCCCCTCCACCTCTCTGGAAATTCCAGTCAAGCTTCATACAACCCCCCCCCCCCAGAATTTCCAATCCCTTCTGTGGGGGGAGTATGGATATTTTCTGGAACTATACAATGTTCAATTAACCCTGTAAGCCCCATGTCTACAAACAAGTTCTCCAGACTGATGTCCATACATTTCTTGGTACTAGTTGAGAGAATTTGATAAAAGGTCAAAGCATTTCTGTTTGGTCATCATTTTATTAACTCCGATTATAACCTGTACTCTTGATCATGTGTGGATTTTGTTACAAGAAAGTTATTATTGATACTGGTCATTCTTGCGACTTTTAAAAAGGGAAATGGGTTAATATGGGTTTCCTCTAAACACAGTTTTGTTTACAGAACATTATGGAAAAGAAATTAACCCAGCACATGAAGGGCTGTGTAAAAGTGAGAGAAGGCTCTGACTAGTGGTTTCAACTCACCTTGTCTCTGTTTTGCCAGCAAATTCAAAGTTATTGGATTTAAACGCATTTATATATATATGAGAAAACAGATTTTTTTTTTTCATGCACTGCATAATCCTCTTTGAACCCCCCCCTCCCCCTCACTCTTTCTGTAATAAGTTTAAAGCCCCTTTTCTTTTTCAGAGAAAAACATCATAAACACCCCCTCTCTTTTAAGCCCGTCTCCCAGCCCCCTTTTCTCTGCAACGATAAGCTGTATTGATCAGTTAATCATGACTGTAGCAGTACATGCAGACTGATCTGGTATGGTTTATTCACATGCTGAAAGTTTGGATTTGTTTTTCTTTTTATCTTGGTTGCTTTTCAATTGTTGTTCTAGTTTTTTTTTTTTAATAAAGAATTGATAACCATTATCTTTGCTAAAATAAATAAGTCCCCTCACTCAAATAAAACCCCTGAAACACCAACCGTTAGTAGATCCAGAGAGTGACCAACATCAATTTGCTCTTAACAATATCACTGCACAACATTATTCAGAGAAAAGGCTATGAGAATTAATATAAATTTCTCAAATACAAAATACTTTGATCTTTCATCAAATTCTCTTAACTAATTCCCTTAGTCATATCCCTGATAAGCTGTAGTGATATCCCTGATAAGCTGTGGTGATAATCCCTCAGAGTATGCACTAAAATATTTTTTTTAATATATACTAAAGCAGTGGATAGTGTTTTTTGGATGCAACTGAAATGTAATGGCCATTTGGTCATTTGCATGCCAAAATTGTAGTCATTGGCAGCAGTAAGAGTTAAAAACCATCATTTTTGTGCTCAATTATCTAACTGTTTTAGTATTTACTGAAACAGTAATTGCTCATTATTCACCCCTGTGGCTCAGTAAATATCCACCACTAGCCACCTCCACTTCAGTGAATATATCGGTCAATTAGGCTTTTTCACCTCTATTACGGTGCAACTACTATAACCGGGGCCACCTAGACAAAGTTGACCAATGAATCAGATTACAGGAAAATAACAATACATTCCGAGAAAGTAAGTTGTCAGTCATAATTACCACAAAACAAAATCAACAACATGGATCGAAATCAACCAATAAAAACAACCTACAGACGTGATCTTTTGAACCCACTGAAGAAGCACATGTTTCCTGAGAGGTCCGTTAGAGTAAGTGACTGATGCAAAAAACGTAAACGGTAGTTATGTTATTGATTTGCAGTCGCATGTTATTGCAAAGTGCGGCAATAGGAGCGAAGAAATCGCTGGCAGATGACAAAATAACAGCTTGTGTCAAAGATATCTCCTGGGTGTTGTGTACAAAGTTTTGAATAGAAAAACATTGTCTGGTGAAACATTTTGCTTTCCTGAAAAAAGTACGCTTTTACGAGCTGCTGATTGGCCAACAACCAACTTTCTTGGATTGGTCAACTTTGTCTAAGTGGCCCTGGTTACAGTAGTCACACTGTAAGCTGCCATCATGTGCTTGATACACTTTGGCTTTTTTTTAGGAATATTGTGAAGGAAAATAAAGTCCAGGATAGAGGGTAATAACTGTCTAGTGATTGTAGACCATGCAGTGATGCTGCTCTCATTGCATGGTTTTTTCAAAATAAAGAGATGTTTCCCGCTAAGGATTATGCTGATGAATGATGAACCTCTGTTGTGCGGCCAAGCTCTATGAAGCCACCACTTGTTGGTTCCCTGAGGATGGCCATTCAATAGAGGTTCAACTCTGTTACCTTATACATGCACAGCAATAAAATTAATGCTTGCACATGCTCCAGTCAGCTATAGCATAAGGAGGTTTTGCATATAATACTCTATAATTCTGTGGGATTATAAGCTTAAAGTTTGAATGATATCTAGAGAAAATAATGAGACAGAGAGGGAATCAGGGCATTGGCTGTGATATATGAATTTCACGTAAGCCTATGTAGAGGTTGTTTAACAAATTGACCACAATTTTCTATGGTCTACACTCTTATAGATCATAGAAAGGACGTCATAAAATGTTCAAAACTCAAGTGGAACCACAAGCGGCAAGCCGCATGGAAAATAATTATTGTGGTTGATTTGTTTTTTACAATAATATTTTTTTTTCCGGAAAAACCAAAAACAAAACAACCGGCACTGCGTGACATGTTATGTCATTTCCGTGGTCTATACTCTCATAGACCATAGCTCTCAACCAATCAGCACACGAGGATTTGCTCTGTTATTGTAAAAAATTAAACGGAAATACAATTCCTGGGACATCCACACATTTTAATTGTTTGTTTGAAACGTCATCAAGTCGATGCGCCACTGCCTCAAAGCAAACAATTTGGAATATTGTAATGGCGACATATTAAGAGATGATAATGTCCCATTATTTTCTCTTGACAACACTGAATAACACTTGGTGGACCTGTCCACAATAATATTAAACCAACTTCCGATTAACTTCAAACGTTTAATTGGTCTAAAAATAACTTGTTGATATTTACATATCAGTGGTGGATCCAGGGGGGGGGCCTCTCCCCTTTTAATTTTAGACCAAACTGAGGCTCTAAGGGCTGAAAAATCTTCTTTTGGAGACCCCCCCCCCTGCCTTATCTCAAGGTCTGGATCCGGCACTGCATATCCCAAGGGCTAGACTGAGCATTTCCCTCTCTGTACCTTTGTTCTCTCTTGATGATATACTGTAAGGGACAAAGTCAGCTTTAATGTACTTAATCCTGTATGGGTTAAATTTATAAATTACAGAAAGGTTTAGACTGTCAGGGTTCTATCTAGAATTTATCATTTGGGGGAGAAGTTCCGAGTAGTAGAAGGTAACGAGCTTCCTAGGGGGGGGGGCCAGAGCAAGCTCCCCCGGAAATTTTTTGGAATGAATATGCGCTGAGATGCAATCTGGTGCATTTTGAGAGTGACACATAATTTTGAGAAATGTTACAGTGTGTGCAATGACCTTGTCGTGTCTGGATGATTTTTCCAATATAGTTACCTATATACCTTAATGATAACAATATTTTTGGGGAGGAAACTGGGAATTTTGGGGAGGAAGCTTCTACCCCTCAAATACCTAGCCTGCGAGCAAGCTCTCCCATTTGGGCGAGTGAAGTCTCGCGAGGCTCACTTCGCTTACCCAAATAGGAGAGCTTGCTCGCAGGCTATCAAATACCCTAGATAGAACCCTGCTGTACAAGACATATTGAAGTGTTTTATAACTTCTTAATTTCTAGGTGTAGAACTATGTTCTAAGTTGTAGACTTAATTGAGTTGTCTTATAGATGACCATTGGAATTTTAAAAGTGAGTATTTATGGCTTTATAGATTTTTAAATAGCGAATTTCAATATTTGAGCAATAAAAAATTATTAATTTAAATATGGAAGTTGTTGTTTAAACATTTTATTACTACCACATGGAACCATTATTTTTTATAAACAACAATTTAGTGAGAAGTGTATTTCTAAAAACATGACAATTAACCATTCCTTCTTGTAAACATACCAACCAAACTATTAACCACAAATGGGGGGAGGAGAGATTTTCTTAGAACATTAATTAAGCGTGACCTAAACAATTCTAATGAAACATTATCAAGCGCGCCATAAGAATGATTAAAGTAACAAATATAACGGCGCGCTAAGAATGCAACATGCAAAATAGTGCGTAATAAGACTGTCTAACATAACAATTAATCAAACAAAGAACATAGCGTGTATAAAGTTGCTAAGAGTAAAAATAAATTAAAACACATAGCTGGTGTAAACCTAAACTGAATTTGCTCAAGGAGTGACTCCTTTTATTCATCAAGTTTTGACTACAGGATCATTGCTTTCGAGAACTTACTATCCTCCTTCTGTGTACTCTAGGACAAAGATGTGGCCAGCTTCTACTTGAAAAAAGTTGGCCGAGAAGAGAAAAAACGGGAAAAAATGGGTTTATGCATTCGCAACAACCTTCC